ACTGACATTTTTGAATTTCGCATATCAATGTTGAAACGGATTCAACTATGCTTGTGATGGACTGACGGCCCTGAAGTCAAGAGCCTATGATCTCACCCCAGGAGGCACCCTATTCACTATCTTGCGGCATTTGATCGCAACTAGTTTTACTGGAGGGTGTATATCTCCTTTAGCCCTTTGTTTCTCGTTCATGTAATAATTGTGCTCACAGTTTAACTCATTTGGGAGTGAATTGGGATCTGGGTCATTCTGCTGTTTGGACTAACAGCCTCCCAAGTCCCAAGAGTTTGTAATGAGCCTTGTGGACCGTCATCTCACTGGACATGTGGAGTAATAAAGCTACGAACTTATGATAAAACAAAACAGCCAGATTTCGTGATGCACATGTACTCCAAACTTAATTCTAGGCTCCCCACAAGGTTTGCCAAAACGTTGACCGCAGGGAGGCCTGATGGGATAGCTTAGCAACAAGAGGAGGAATCTGACAATGTAATGTAACACTTCTGAAAGACTGAAACCCCCTTCCCGAAGAACCCAACACTGACCTTGACGGCCGTCTCGATGAGGCTCTTGCGCTGCTGTGCGTCGGAGACGTGGCAGACGGCGCCCACCGCGGTGATACCCTTGGCCCTGAGCCCCTCCACCGCCTCGTTCACGTTCTTCTGCAACGCCCCCGAATCGATTCCCCCAATCAGAAAGAGCAGCAAGGGAAATCCCAAAGCGAGGACAGCAAGCAAGGAGGGTAGAATAGAAGAAACGACAAGATTTGCCGGCTCAGCTGGACCTGCTTGCGGGAGGAGATGACGACGGCGGCGCCCTCCAGGCCGAGGCGCTCGGCGATGGCGAGGCCGATCCCCTGCGTGGACGCCGTCACGACGGCCACCTTCCCCTCCAGTCGCCGGCACTTGACATCCATCGCCGCGCAGGCCGACCTTCAACTTCAAGGTCGCTCTCGTCCTCTCAGTCCCAAACTTGCTGCTGGAGTGCTGATAAGCGTATATGCTTTGGTTCCTGGGATTATTGGGACAAGAGTAGACATACGGAGTATATACAGATGCGGGACCGTGCCAGCCCCTAAAATCGGTGGGACCGAGGTAGGGATGGAAACGGAAATTCCTATGCAATCGGATCACATTTCAGTTCGAATTTAAATACAAATGTATATTTTTGAATATAAATACAAAACCAGATGTCTCGGACTCGAATTTTTATTTAGATATTTAATCAATTCAATTCAAAGAACATATTGTTAAATTCAACATACATGAACATAATTTTACTACTAACTTCATCAAAACTAATGTGAATAAAATCAATGTACATTTCCAATAATCTAACTAAATTATAATAGATAATATATTTTAATAAAATGTTAGGTTAAGTTTAAAAATTCAAATAAAAATGGTAGACAACAAGTAGTCATTTTGCTGCCGGTACAACAGAGTAATTTCCCACAAAATAGGAGTACTCTATCCGTCTAGAATTTCTATATATTTGACGGAATTATCGCTTACTTAAAATTATCTATGTACTTCTATTTATTAAGTTGATCTATATTGATGTAAACCATAATCTCAAGCTAGTATGTATCTGGTCTAGTTCCAAAAGCTAAACAATTGATTTTTGTAGATAATTTTAAATCCTAAAATATCAAGTTTTCTAGGACAAAGAGAGTATTAGCTAAGAGCAATTTTAAAAGACTTTCTATATCCTTTCTAATTGCTAAAAATATAGATTTTTGATAAAAAAATATCCTCCAACAGTTCATTTATTTGATTATCCAAATATAGTCATATAGTCATCTTCTATTGCAGATTTCTTGCTAACCAAAAATAGAAAATAAGAATAACTGTCTAAAGTGCACATAAGGTACAGAAAGACCGTTATAGAGCGGAAAGATATAGAAATCGAATTTTATAAAAATGACTTTCTAAATAATGATTTAGAGAATGAGCTTTTTTTAAAAAAAATTCTTGGGGATATTCTTTATTTGTAGGGTTTATTCCGTTGATCCCTGGTTGAGTGTAGGAGATCAAAGGGGATTGAGGAAGATTTTTATTTATAGTGGATTTAATCCCCTCAAATTAGTGATTAACTGAACAAGCCCTTAGCTAGATAGAAAAAAATCTTCCTGTCCTAGAGCATCTCTTCAAGTGGCCAAAAAAATACAAAACTTATAACATATCCAACAGTATTAAAAAAGAATTCAAAAAAATCTAATTTTGCAACGGTACTAAAAAATATTGGAAAGAAAAAATGACATTATCACCAACAATTTCTAATAATTTATTTACTCCTAAAAAGTCAAAAGCAGGCCCACTTGAAGATTTTTGGTGGCCACCAACGCCACACCGACGCAGCCGCCATTGTGGCCCCACAACCAGCCATTCAACACCTACTCACACTCAGAACCTTCAAAATGATTTTTTAATTACCTGCTCTACCCCTCAATATTCTCATATATGAAATTTGTGTTCAGAGATCCAATTGTGGCGAACCTCCTATGTAGTGACGAGAGCGACTGTGACTGCCATCTTAGCGTCCTAACTCACAACAAAAACCTATAATATAGAATCTTCATTGTCCGCTTTACTTCTTCGTATTCTCATATTTACAAATAGTGGCTGAAAATTTAATTGTTGCGAACCTTCAAACAGCGGCGGTCGGGGCGAAGGAGTGTGGAAGAAAAATAAATCACTGCCACATGATAGGGAGTAGGGATATAAACGGAACGGATATCATTGATATTACATGTGTTTTTATATTTCTGTTCGATTCGGATTCGAATACTAGTCTCAGCTCATGGGCTGATCCAAGGGTATTCCCTAATATTTCTGGGAATACCCAACTATTTTGGTACACTTTTATATATATATATATGTATATACTCATATGTATAATGTATATTGGTGTTAATTCACTGTTTTTTAGTAGAAACTCAGCCCACAGTTACCTATTCGTGGCCTCCTTTCCTTTCCAACTGTATGCATTGGATTTAAAACCTAGGCTGCTATGTATTTGATTTTTTTTGGGAAGCGAGAATACCCAACTTCAAGATGCTGGCTCCGCCACTGTCTCAGCTGTGTCGGATAAAATACGATTGGATATCGACATCGTAACTATACAATTCATCGAGTACTTTTGCCCATGGATGCCTTTGTTTTTCCAAGCGTAAATTGACTTAGAATAGTTATCAGATTTGAAATATAACAACTATTTTCAGATTACCAGTTCCTTTTATTTATTGTTTCACCGCCCATCTCAACTAGCTGGGTCTCTAGCATTATTAAACTAGAAGCATAATTTACGCATTGCTGCAGAAATTGTGCATGACTTAGAATAAAATTGTTTGAATTTTACAAAAGATTTGCATTTACAAAAAAGTTTGCTTAGATTCGATCCCCCCTTTTGGAGATCCTCCTACTAGTTCCCTGGCTCTGCTCCGGCTCGTACTGAGTCGTCTGAGCCCCCTTGGCGGACTCACCTTGTGTGTGGTGGGATTTCCTTGCGGTGGGAAACAGAAATCGTGTCTCTCTGATAAATTGGATGCCGCCACATCCTCGACTCCTCCCTCTCCTTTCGCGGCAGCAGAAGTGTGGAACCACTGCTTTAGCTCTACCCTACAGTTGTACCCTGCAACCTGTTGAAGTCGAAATATACATGGGCTCAGCGTAAATAGAATTTTTTTCAGTTACTCCAATAAACAAATATCAAAGCCAAATTCATATATGCACAAGAGAAGTAGCAATTTTAGGTAGTGTTTGGTTTGGGATGGGGTGGGACCATCCCACTTTCCTAGGTGTTTAGTTGGGAGTCACGAGGGACAGAGTCATCCCATATAGGGAATATTCCCACAAGATTCAGGTTTAACGCCCTGTTTGCTTGGCTTATAAGCCGTACTTTTTCAGCCAACGAACAGTATTTTTCTTTCACAACAAATCAGCCAACAGTACTTTCAGCCATGACTTATCAGCCAAGTGAACAGGGCATAAGTCGCCCATAAAAAAAGAACGGACGGGGACGACCCACCTGGGATGAGCGGCTGCGAGGGCGAGGTGGTGGCGCTCCCGCGTGGGACGAGGCGAGGCTTCGGGTAGGTGACCACAACGGTGGAGCGGTGCTTCGGGCAGGCAGTCGCGACGGCGGGGCGGTGTTCTGGGTAGGCGGCCGGGCTGCCATACCAGCACGCAAGGGCGAGGCAGCACTCCGGGGCGGTGGAGTCGTGAGGGGCGTGGTGGTGCATGGCAGGCGGAGTCATGAGTGGCACGATGAAGGCTTGGATGAAGGAGGCTAGGCGGTGGCGGTGGTTGAATCGTGGCGGCGGAGCTAGGTGCCTGTGGGTGCAGGGAGAGAGAGGATAAAGAAAGAGGAAAGGCAGAAGAAAAAGAAGACACCGACAAATGAGCCCCATGTGTAAGTGTATAATCCAATTTTCTGACGTCTCCCAACCAGATAAGAGACAGGACGGTTCCGTCTCTTCCAACCAAACACGTAGATGAGACCATCCCGTTCCTCAAAACTAGGCTAGGTCTATCTTATATCCTAAGTTGTCTCTTAATCAAATGCTACCTTAGTCCCATCTTACGAGTTATAGTTAAAGCGCGTGAATGATCAATGCTATAAAAAAAGATTTGTAAAAACAGCTAGAATCGTATAGAAGTGGCTTTCTCGTACGCCACTCTGTTTCTATCTCTAGAGAGCATAAATTTTTTAGAAGGGTGAGTTTTTCCTAAACCCGAGTGTATAGCTACTCATATTTGCAATAAACCATCTTATGTATGTGTATGCTTATTTATCAGTTTGAGTATTTTTTGTATAGTCATTTTTAAGATACTCTAAATCATATTATGTGGAAAAAATTCAAAGGAGCTAATAAAATTTTAGCATATTGTTATAATATTATTGTAGAGTATAAGAGCATCTTCATCAGATCCTTTTTCCTTTAAAATATGTATAGGAGACTGAGAAAACCGAATGGTAGATTATTGGGGATATGTCCTCTATCCAACTTCAAACTCCAAACCGCGTCGGCGCTCTTCACGAGTAATAAAGCTGCTCTCTGCTCGCCTTTGTCTTTTGCCGCCACTGCCTTTCGCCCCTTTCGGTTGCTTGCTCCCAAAGATGGCATTTACCGGACCCTTATTGACTCCCCAAACCGACGCGGACCTCACCACTCGATTGCTCTCAGTATACGTAGCAAGCAAGCAAAGCAAAGCATAGTCACAGCGAAGGTGTGCGCGCGAGACAGGGAGATGGCGACGACGGACTGAGGGCCGATCATCGTGGCGGTGGTGCTGTTCATCCTGCTGTCGCCGGGGTTCCTGTTCCAGCTGCCGGCGAGGGTCAGGGTGGTGGAGTTCGGCAACATGGGCACCAGCGCCCTCGCTATCCTCGTCCACGCCATCCTCTACTTCTGTATACTCACCATCGTGGCGGTAGCCATCGGCGTCCATGTATACACGACCAAAACAGATCCGGTAGAGTAAATTAAATTGAATTTGCGTACGTGTGTTTTTCCAGTTCTCTGCTCTCTCGTTGTTTAATTTTTCAGTCAAATATCGTCTGTGTGTATCTCTGTTGTATATGGCACCACATACAAATATATACATGCATACATATACATATACGGGCTGTAGCTTCATGCTGTAGTAGATAACAATAATGAATAGAAAAAAAAGTATAGAGATCTTGCGCATGCCTTTTGTTATGTTTCTTGATGCTTCCAAGTCATTTCCCCCCTCAAAGTGAACACCATGGAGTAATTTATGTCATTACTAATTCGATTAGTATGTATATCGATCCATTTTATACTAATATTTTATATTCATATAGATATACGGAATTGCTAACGTCCGGATGTCCGCACGGACGCACGTGGCTGCAGTTCGTTTCCGTGCGTCCACGCGAGGGCCCGTGCCACCCGGACATCGTCCACACGTGCCTGTGTTTCGCGCACCCATGCGGGGGCCCGCGACACGTAACCGCTCCTACTTCCCACCCGCATCCCATGTGCAACACTTCGATCTATTTTTGAAACATTCATATGCAACACTTGCAACATACAAAAGAAGATAGATGAAATACATGAAACATGCATCTGAAATACTTGAAAAAACACATGAAACATGCGTTTGAAATACTTGAAAACCATTGCAAACATACGCAACATACAGATAAAACACTTGGCACATATGTAACATCTAGATAAAATACTTGCAACATACGTCTAAAATAGATGAAACATTGAAAACAGACGCTTGCAACATACCTCCGAAACACTTGCAACATATGCAACATGTGCGGCAGCCCAATCTACTTTTGCAAACATTCAGACACTGCTATATTCAGATATATCACAAGCGGTTCGTAAAGTCTATCATTAGCGCTTTTCGGTCTCGACAGTAAGCTGTCGGGGGTGATAACATTCTTTTCATACGCGGTTTACAACCGGCGGTGATAATAGCTTATCATAGTCGGTTCGTATTACCAGTGACGGTGATTTGAATTTTCAAAATTTTCAAAAACGGGCAAAAAATAGCAAAAAAAATTGTTTCAGTCCTGGGAAGCCCCCACTAGCTCCAACTTCATGGTACCGGGAAGCTTTTATGGTACGCGGTGCTGGAATTCGAATGTGAGACCTTTGTCTTATGCTGTTCTAACCACTCTTCTCTAAGCACTCCACCCCTAAGTCACTTGTGTCTATATAGCATATCCATTCCCATAGTATTCACTTTTTAGGATTTAAAATAAATATTTTATACCCTAAACGGCTTCAGATGAAAAAGTCATAAACTACAAATTTGTTGTTCTAATCGAGATCTACAACTTTGATTTTGGTTGTTTTGCCATCTGAGGTCGTTTAACAAATTATAATTTTAAAACGTCAAAATTTCAGCTAGATTTTTAGGACCTCAAATGATTTCAAATGAAAAACTCATCAACTACAAGCTTATTGTTCCCATGGAGATCTACAACTTTGGTTTTGATCGATTTTCCATCTAAGGTTGTTTAAAAATTTTGGTTTTTAAAATTTTAAAACTCCATATACAAATTTGAGACTATAAATGATTTCTAATGAAATAGTTATCAACTACAAAGTTGTATATCTCATCGAGATCTACACCTTTTGTTTTGATCATTTTTTTATCTAAGGTCGTTTGTATAATTCGAAAAATTTGAATTTCAAAATTTGAGTGCTTAATTCTAGGACCATAATGGTTTCAAATGAAAAAACCAACTCTTTTTATATAAAGTTTGTTTTCATATGATTTTATTTGAAAAAGTTATGAATTTATTTATACTGCAGCATGGTTATCACCGCCGTATCATACAACAAGCTGGCACCTAGCGATGAAAATGTCTTCACCGCTGGTTCATATGGCGAGGTGGCAATGACGAGGAGCACATTATTACCATCGGTTGGTGGTGCAAAGCAGCTGTGGTGATGGACTATCACCGTCGGTTGGTAAAATGAAGCGGCGGTGATAATTATCAACCTGCACGTTCTTACGAATTACGAACTGTTGGTGATAGCTATCACCAACGATTTTAATGATACCGGCGGTGATAAAAGTGTTGGTGATAGGTCAATATATAGTAGTGAGATGAAACACTTGCAATATCTAGATTAAACATCTGAAACACTTGAAAATATACGCTTGCAACATGCGCTTTCAGCATAATATCACCGTGCTGCTTGGAGAATAGCCACTCATCGTTGTGGAGCTCGACGCTGGGGCAGAGGTCGGTGGCGGCGCATGGAGCTCACTGGTGTAGCAACGGTGCGGCCCACCTGCGATTCTCCAACGCCTGCTCGTGGCCCAGGCTCACGCCCGTCGGTGCGGCCCTGTTGCTGCTATTCCAGCACCGCTGCTCTCTCAGCCGGAGTTGCCCGGGGCCGTTTGCTCACAGGGGATGGGTGCGGCGTAGCCGGCGATAGGGTGTGGCGTGACGGGGAAAGGGCACGGCGCGACGCCGCGACGGGGTCGAAGCGCGGTGGGGGAAGGGGGGCGGACGAATAAACAGCTCGGAAATGCTCAGCCACGCCACGGCGGCGCGGATGAGCGGAGTGGATAATTTTTTTAAGGCCGGTCGCTGCGCAGGACTTGGAGCCCTGTGGCTGAGCGCTTCCGTATAGATATATAGGTAGTTTGATATAAATATGGTCGAATCAATCACGCACATTTTCAGTATCCAAAACGAGACACATTTCGTAGTCTGTTCTTTCTCAGTACAAGTCGACCGGGTCAGTCATGTGAAGTTCACACCGTGTAATAGCTTGTATTGAAGTATTCCCGGCCTCTAGCTGATCGACCGTCTAATGTTGAGTGACGTCTCTTCCGACAATCCTTCTTCACGTCCGACCAGATGGCTGATGACTTGTATATATCACTATTATTTTGGACCAAGATTAAGTGATCATGATGATGAGAGCACACACCATTTTATTGGTTAGTTTTTGGTTGGATTGGACACTACACAGACACGTTATTACGTAGCTAGATATAGCAGTCACTGCTACAACATAGCAAAGATTTTAGGAGACGAGGCTCCTCGTTAAAAGAGACTAGCTAAAAGAGAGGATGTCTGCAAGAATGTACGTCCAACGACGATTTTCAGAGGTGATCGTGCCATTTACAGAGACACTCTGTCTTCGAAATTAATTTGAGAGCAAGAGGTCTGTCTTTGAAAGACGGACTTCTTACAAAGTCCATCTCTGTTAATTGGAGCTCGGATCATTAAGAGCCCGTTTGGTCGGGCTCCGCGGCTCTTCTCTTACTCCTCTCCTATTCATCTCCTGTAGCGACACTGTTCACCGGAGCCGTTTTTCTCTCTCCTCCTTTCATCTCCCACTGACAGCGCTGGAGCCGGAGAAGCTCGTTTTTTTTTCTCCTCCGGCTCCATCTCCTGCGCGCTACAGTTACGCTACAGTGTGAGAGGCAGAGCCAGCGGGAGCCCGGCCAAACGCGCCCTAACTCTGCTCCTTCCTATCCTTATCCTCACAAGAAGGATCGGAGAAACCATGAAATTTATACAGTTCCATATATATATTATATCCCATAATTATAATGATCCATTGATCGATTATTATAAACATAAGTACTCACTCCTTTTTATAATTTATATTATATAGTACACGTACATCACACGATGGTGCATGCATTGGGGTTCTCCTCACTGAAAGCTTCCGGTGGATAGTTTGCTGGATAGCCATACCCATACATGGCAGCAGGGCTGCAAGCATACGCCGGGTACGCCTGCGGATACTGGTACTGCTGGTACGGGTAATAGTATTGTGCATAAGAAGGATACGACGGGTAGAAGTAGCTGCGGTTGCTGAGGGCCATCTCAGGCGCCACCGTCACAACTCCGGCCGGCATCGGAACGGTGAACAGGTGGTCGTCCTTGGTATGATTCTCCAGCACGAGCCCATCGCCATGGCCGCCACCATCATGGTTTTGAGCTTCGCCGGGATGGGTTCCATGCTCCTCAGCGCCATGTCCACCGTCGCTCGGCTTCTCCGTTTCCGGGCTCTCATCATCCACATGGTCCTCCTCTTGTCCTCCTCCTCCCTTGTTCTCCTCATTTGGCTCTTCCTTCTTCCCGTTCTGTCCGCCATTTTTCTTCTCCCCCGGAGGATTCTCAGCTTCAACCGGTGGTACCGGCGCGACGACCGTTGGTGGCGCCGTCGACTTTGCTGATTGCAGGAGATCATCCAGTGGCTCCGCCCTGATGATGGCGGCTTTCCTCCCCGTGCACTTGTAGATGAAGCCGACCAGTGTTGCCGGCTCCACCTTTCCCTTCACCATCACCTGTGAGGATTTCAGGTGCGGCACGGCTTCCTCCACACCTGATGATGATCAGCAAATGAAATGAGTAACTGTTCTCCTGTTCGCCATCACAGTTGTTTGAAACACTTTGTACTGTATCGATCAGTACCTGTAATCTTCAGTATCCTCCGTCGGATCTCCTCGCTGCAGGCGTCGCAGTGCAAGTTCATCTTGAGAACGGTAACCATTTCCTGGGCAATCAATCACAACACACAAAATATATAATGAGGTAAAAAAAAGGCAGAGGTACGGTGAAACAAACAAGCTGATGAATTTGGAAAAAGCTTTAACAAGTTAATTGAAGTAGCAATGTACACTGTATTTGTAGTTCACGAGAGAGATATAAATAAAAGAGTACCATGTTCACTTCCGGTAACTCATCATCCCCCGTGTCGTCCTTTGTGTTTGCGTCGTCTTTCTTGTCTTTGGTCTCTCCACCCTTGGCCGCTGACCGCGGCGGCGGCAGCTTCTCCGGCGACGGGCTCACCAACACCGCCTTCTCCCCGGTCCTCCTCTCGACGACCTCCACGACATCCGACGCGTTCTCCACCACCCTGCGGCCCCTCACAACCACCGTGTTGGTCCGGCTGTCCACGGTCACCTCTCCAACACCTTCCATTGTTCAGTAGCAATGGCTCCATCAGAATTCAGAACGAAACATATATGTACTCCTATATCTTACTTAGGACTATTACCCTCGAGGCGCTGCAGTGAGCGGCGCAACTTCCTGCCGCAGCCGTCGCAGTGCACCGGCGCCCTTATCACCAGCTCCTCCTCGGCCGCCGTCGCCGGTACATCGCCGGCACCCTTCCCGGGCGCCTTGATGTCCTGCGCTTTCTCTTGACCCGTCGTCCCTGTGCCGTCGCACGAGAAAACAGCGGGGTGTTAAGGAAATACATCACTTCGCATCAAACCGAGAGTGAAGAGTCTCCTCATCGTACCTTTGCCATGGGTGGGTGGCGCTGTACGTACGTGCTTTGCTGACCCTTCTGGTCTCTGGATTGACACTAGACGCCTGGAGCTGGAGATTTATATACACATATATGTATAAATAAATAAATAAATATAGTTGGAGGTGAGTTTGTAAGAGTCGCCGTGGAGAGCGGTGGGCGTGCCACGGTGGGGCGCCGCATGCTTGCCTGCGGCGCGCCGCGATCGGTTGCGTGGGCGGGCTTGCTCGGCTGGAACCCAACCCAGCGAACGTCGCACTTTGGCGCCACCTGTGCCGTGTCGGCGCGCCACATTTGCTCGTCGGTGCATATCCTCAACAACAATGGATCTTGTCGTCTAGTACGGCATTTTTGTTGACCTAGAAGATTGTAGGTGAGAGGAAGGAGGTGATCAGGTGATTCTCGTGAGAAGAACCAGGTTTGGTGTGTTAAGTTTTTTTTTTTTTCCAAACATGTCTTCGTGGGAAAGCTGTACGTCACTCGAGTATCTGGCGTCCGTCCGATCTGTGTTGTCAACGGCTCCCGCGCAGCAAGGGTCGCGGGCCCCTGAGTGGTTGCGTCGAGCGGCCCTGTGCATGCCACTGCATGTGGATGCGGACCAGTGTGGTGCTCCACGCCTCCACTGCATGAGAGAGAAGGGTGTGGGGACCGTCCGGTGGAGTGCATGCAGCAATGCGGTGCCTGGTCAAAAGCAGCAGATGGTGCAGCGACCGCTGTAGGTTGTGACGAGTCACGTCAGCTAGCCCCTGACAATGTACTACCAGGATACATACGAAAACAACCTATAATTTTTTTTTTCATTGTTCAACTTTTACACAATTATATTTGAGCATGTATATAATCTGAGAAACACTTTTACGTAACAAGGAATAGTAAAGTTATTTATCGTATTAACCATTTAAATTATATTCTGCCCAAGTCCTTAATCATGACTTGGAGATCTTCAGAAAAGCTGTAAAAACATTGGTTTGCACGGCTCTTCAAAATGTCCGTTAAGAATTTCATCCTCAGTGAAGTTGATAGCTGTGTATGAAAAATAATAAGTTAAGTTATTAATTTCCTATGTAGTATACGGAATATAGTTAGAGAACATATATGCTTACAGTGTTGATCGGTGGCAATCTTATGTCATCCCATGACTTCATGAAATGGTCTACAAGGAAGCATCCTAATTTCTCGGAGAAAAACATTTGTTTATTTATTGTACATAAATCAAATAACTATTTTGTGATAAGAAAGATGAAACATATATAAGTGATTACCGGTCTTTATTTTTGGAACTTTTGGAACACATATAGGGAATTCTCGCTTCCAGTAATAAATAATGTCGCTCCACTTAGAATTTGTCAGTTTCATGGCGAGATTGAACCTTTTAGCAATACCGTGAAATGTAGCTATATATGGCATGCTTTGATCACAACCCTTGTAACATACATCATCTGGAAGTGGATCCATAATGTGCACAGTTTTGTTTTACATGTCCATTATGAATAAAGTGTATAGTCCATCTCGATAATATGACAGTAGAATCTAAAAACATACACATAGACTATAAGTGCTAAATAAAATATAATAAGTATTTAAAGGAGTACATAAAACATATCTTATATTATATTGTTGTAATCTTTAATATTGTACTTCATGTCAAGCCCGCACTCAAGTACTTTTGTCAGTTTTTTGTGGTCTTGCTTGTCACAACATCGTAGATCTCATCCAAACTGAGTTATGGCCTGTTGATTTTCCAAAATTTATAATTATTTGATGAATTATACAATTAAGAATTATATCAACTTACAGCAAACTGGAGGTCCATGAAGTGATATTTTTCTTTCTTCAACAACAAGGCTTCGTTCCACGCAACCATACGAACAGCCATACTGAAGCAATCATGGTCCATCTCTCTATTCTCATCTAAAACATCTCTAATTTTTGTGGGACTTAAAGAAATTGGGTATGATCGTGTGCTTCGGACCCACTCTTTGCTAAAAAATAAGGACAAGGAACAAATTACTTATTGTAGTAATTTAGCACGGGCACTGGAAATATCTAAATTAGAACAAAACAATTTTTTTTAGAATGATTTACTCTAAAGGTTTAGCATCGGTGATCAACTGGATGTTTGCGCAAATTGCAGACAATAGGTCTTTCTTGTTTGTCCATGTTATTATACCCGACAGTGAATTAGATATGTCGTCCATATCATCGAGCATTATGACACCATCATCCAGATTATGGCTGGTCTTATTATCTTGCACATCATCCTGTAACCCTCTCGCTATGTTTAATGGGGAGTTATACAAGATCGCAGGTAGCTTGACCCTAAAGTTACTTATATCATTATGAAAATATGAGCAAGTCCTGAGATATTAACCAGTCCAAAAAATGACTATGTTTAGAAATATTCATACGAAATTACCTGGGTCACATGGTCAGATAAATTAGTTCCAATTCAATACTCCATATAATTAATCATCCATAAAGCACAACTTACACTGTGCAGTATTGAAAAAATAAAATATGAGTGATACAAATATCGTTGCTGGTACGACAATGGCATAAACACAACAAGTTAGATGATATTTTACCCATCTGTTTGCACTCTTTTGGTGATCTTATGTTTTTTTGGCCAAGATGCCACTCCGATATCCTTTTCCCATTTTTTCGGTTGTTGTATGTATCTCTGCTGCATGTTTTATTAGTCTTTCCATTCCTATTAACTGCTATGACCAAAACACCAAGATTTAGAAAGGGATAACAATCATTAAGCCATACCGTATATTATATAGAAATAAAGAAAGTTACTAATACTTAATTAATAAACTTGAAGTATACATGTGTCTGTGGTCGCTGTGCCAATGCCAACATGTATATCATTCCTGTGTGCATCTGGTGGGATATTTTCCTTATCCAATATAATTGGCGTGATTTGGCCCATCTCAAAGTAATTAGTACCTGCATATTTTTTTCAGTTGTACAAAAGTTAGTTTTATATTATATAGAAATAAAGAAAGTATCGAAAAGATTAAATACCCGTGGGTGTTGTTGTGGGCACTGTTTCCGTCAAAGCACAGGAAGTGCTACTATTTTGGGATGTAGCCTTCTTCCGTGCCCGGTAGTCATGTATATACTCACATTGTTTCATCTTGATCTCTTCTCTTTGTTCACTGGACATCTCAGCTCGACGAATCCGTTGCTGCATGTTTCTTTCTTCCCTCTTCCGCGAGGCCTCATCGAAAGTGGTTGTTTGGATATATTTAGGAAATCAGAAAGACAACCCAAAAGTGCTGTATACATACATAATGAAAGCATACCTGCGATGTTGGTGATATCGCTTAGCGCATCACATGTATCTGTGGGCGTAGACATTGCGAAGTACCAGCAATGATCTTTAGCCGGCAGTAGTGGCGAGCAGCAGGGTTTCCTCACGCTAGTGGCCTCCAAGCTAGTATCATGTAATGGTGAATGATCTGCGCCTCATATACAGATAGCCAAATAGCTTAAATCAGGGTTTAGGATCTCCGTTTCGGACAGCACGAAGGCAAGAGAGCGGCCAGCATACCTAGTGTGGAGGATGGTCATCTCGATAGAGAAGGGTCCGACGAAGACCTGGATAGCAGATAGAAGGGCTGCGGTGGTCGGCAAGGGCGTGTTTGCCCCGTTGATGGTGATCACCTCCATGTAGGCGTCACCTCTGTTGACCGTAGGCGTCAATGCGACTGTTAACAGTGGTGGATGGCTATTCAATTTACCGCACATATCAAAGTGGAAAGAAGCATCAAAAGTATATGATATGGTAACACACAGGTAGAGGGAACACAGGAGGAAGGGAACATCAAATTACCTGATCTTATTTCTTGAACACAGGTAAAGGAAGATGACAGGACAGGAAAAAAAGCAATTGCACTAACTAAGCATATGGAACCAAAAGCATACTCTATTCGTGTTGTTTTGCATCAAAGAGTACTGAAGTTTTCAGAACCATATAGTCTAGAATGTAAGAACTGAATATATATAGAGACTTCACAATTCAAAAAAAAAAGTTAAGCATATATATGCACTTGAGACGATATCACTGAGTACATGGGTAGTACTTTTACTGAAAAGAACAATTATAAACATCTAGAAATAAATAATAGAATCAAGATGTATTCTGTCCCTTCAAAACATTTTTTTATGGGCAGATAAAAACAAGTAATTGCTGAACAAAAAAGACAGTGCAGATCAACGTGCACTGCTGGAATCAAACACAGATGTGTTAAAGGATAATAGTAGGTTCAAAGACTCGGATATTCATATAGTTATGGTGTTTTATGTAATCTCTGCCTTTATTCGGAAGATGCTATTGCAAATTTCAGTGACTAAGATTCATGGGATATCTGAGAGATTTGCACTTATAATTAAGTACCTGGGCAATGTTGCCGACGGTGACAAGGATCGCGCCATCGCGAGCACCCACTGTCGTCCACTCGTCGCCGTCGTTCATGACCTAGCTCGGCGGTGCCTCTTCCTTCCCAGACGCCTCCCACTTGTAGTGAAGCGCCACGACGTATGGGTACACCTTCGCCTTCCCGACGGCCGGAGGTGCCGTATCGGCGGTGGAGACCCGGGAGGCTCACACCAAGCACCGCGGCTTCCTCCTCCCCTCTGCGAATGGCATGGGCGCGGGCGATCGGCGGAGCCGCGCAACGACGTACGAGTACCACGGCTTCCTCCTCCCCTCCACGAAGGGCGTGGCCGCAGGCGATCAGCGCGGCGGCAGCCCGGAAGGTTTGGAACATCGATCGGCACAGCGGCGGCACGGAAGGTTTCGAACGTCGTTCTTTTTTTTATTCGGTGATGATTGGCGTCAATCGTGGTTGGAGCATTGAATCACGGTGTCGTGCGTTGAAGTGCGAGGGTGTGGGGGTGAGAAGCCGGGTGAGAAGCCTGGAATCACACATCGAATAGTGGTCATCGGATTTGGTTTAGATGTTTTATTAGCCCTTGATTTTAATGGAGACGAAGTCCTATGTGCATTTTCCTAGGTACACAATGGTTGGAGGCTCTCAGCGGGGGCGTTTTCCTGGGGGAATCTCGTATAATTTTGATTGCTCCATTATAGTAGATATGTATATTCATTTCTTTAGTACTAGCCATATTACATCTTATTGGATCATATTTTACTACTTCTATTTAGGTGTAAGTGTAACACCCTCGGTGTTACACTGAAAATCTTTTGCTAAAACATGTTATGAGCATCATGGTTATGTGTTAATACATGTAATATAGTGTGTAGATCAAATTCCGTAACTCGAAACGATCGATAGAAATACGAAATGAAAGTTAATTTCATAGTCACATTATATCACTTAGGGTTTTAAACCAATTTTTATGAAGCGAAAATGCTATAGAACATATATGTGCTACTTAAATAAAGTTTGAAGTACAAACTTTATAGATTACGATGAAATACCTAGGGTCGAAAAATGATATCACTAGCTAACTGGTATAAAAGCTTGGAAATCGAATTTGACGTGAATCTGATCAAGACTTAGTCAAATTCCTAAGGTTGAAAAATGGTTTGACAAAGCTAGGTTTGGCAATTTTTGTAGAGTAATTGGGTTTAGGAGTGGAGTGGTTTTATGGCTTGTTTTAGTAGCCTCATGTGCCCTCTTAGGTATAGCAACGCTGATTTGGATGTTGGGTCAACCGATTGAGTGAATTGGACGCTTTTAAAAAGCGTGCATGGCACGTTCTTGGTCGGGTTCATCGCATAGGCGCGGTCACTGCGCTCCTGAGCCATCGTTGGCGCGTCGGCCGTGCGCGCGCGTGTCTGACCACGCTCGACTGGTCACTGTGGCCGGCATCCCTAGCTTGCAGTTGTCCCTTCTCACTGTCACGATGTGCACCGCTGTTGGTGCCCCTGGGGCTAGCCGCATCGCTCTGTTGCTCGGATCTACCTTGCCAGCTGTAGGACACGTGGACGCCTAAGAGGGGGGGGGGTGAATTAGGCAACTTAAAAATCTAACTGTAAACTATGGCCTCTTTTTTCTACCTCTAGCAAAACCTATGCAAAAGATAATCTATCTAGATGTTCAACTACGGTTTTGCTAGTGTGTTGCTATCTCTACCGCAAATGATAATAATATGATCAATGTAAATGCGGAAGCTTAAAGAGCGAGGTAGAGATATGCAAACTCCCGTCGATGACTCCGATATTTTTACCGAGGCTATCGAGAAGCGCAAGCTTCCCCTAGTCCTCGTTGGAGCCCCTCTCAAGAATCCCTCGCAAGGGCCAAGCTCCCGGTCGGGTAACTCCGTGGATAGCCTTGGGCCTTCCCCACGCATAAGTGGGTCTCCGATGTGCCTTCCGGCAAGCCTCTCCCCGGATGCTCCCGCCGTCTTCACTATCAAGCTTTTCGGCCAAACGCCATGGGGGCCTTGTTCCTTCTTTACAGTACATGGTGGCGGCCGCACCACAAACACGGTTGGTGCGATCTCGCAAGACTTCAAGCCCCTCCGATGTACAACTCTTGTGCTCGCAAAAGCGGGGGGTGTCAAGAGGTATGCAAACCTCACTAAACACTAGGCATACACCTAGAGCAAGCGCATAAGCGGTGGTCTAATCAACCTAAGCACTTCGCAAAGCACCTACGCTAATCACCTGATGAAACACTAAGCACTATGCAAGTGGAGATCACTAAAAAGATGTATCAACACCCTTGGTATGTTTCCTCAGCTCCACACTTATCAAATGGCCGGTTGGGGGTTGTATTTATAAGCCCCACTAGGAAAGTAGCCGTTGGGGTCGAACTCCCGCAATTCTGCTACTGACCGGACGCTGAGATCGTCCTGACCGGACTCGTCCGGTCGTCCCGACCGTTGCAGCCGCGAACTACTCATCGACGCGGCCGCCGTCCGTCGTCACCTGCCATCGGCGTGTCGATCGCGCTTTCACGCGCTACTGAACCTCTCTCAGATTTCGATCGGACGCTGCGTTCTGCGTTGGGTCGGTTGTCGCCAATGTCCGGTCCTTGCGTCCGTCGCTTTGTCTGCTGAGCCACCGTCCAGCGTCGGTCGGCGCTTCCAGCCGTCCGGTCCAGCGTCCGGTCGCCTCTGCGAGCTCATTTCTTCACGATCTTGCGCACGGCTTGGTTTCTATCTTCATGCTTGGACTTTGCTTGACATCTTGGGTCTTTTCTTGTGCTTCTAAGGTCTTGCTTGAGGTGTTGATCATCAGATCATCACGTCGCCTTCGTCCAAGTCACGTCTTGCACCCTATTGGACTACAAAACAAACACTTGCAAATTCATTAGTCCAATTTGGTTGTGTTGGTCATCAAACACCAAAATCCAAAGTAAATGGGCCAAGGGTCCATTTTCCTTACAATCTCCCCCTTTTTGGTGATTGATGCCAACATGACCAAAGCAAGCAAATAACAAAATTTTTAATTTAAAAACTATCTACTTGCTAGGATGCAATGCAAGGGGCAAGGTTTTATGATGCTAAGAGATACTACATGAAAGACTATGATACCAATTGAAGACCTAGCTTGCCCTTGCAAATGTCCCCATGTGGCATTATGGATTAAAGTCTTGCTTCTTATAAATTCTCCTCATTACTTAGACTTAATCCATAATCCACTATCCTCCCTTTCTCAGACCATTACCATTTGTAGACATTAACTTAATGCTTGTCTTTGGTCCTCCAAATTCTCCCCCTTTGGCATCAAACACCGAAAAGGAAGACATTAGTAGCACAAGGGAGGGTCAAACTTTGTGATCCTTTGTATGTAGAATTTGGATAGATCATAAAATTTGACTCTCACATTATATAGACTAAGCTCCCCCTAAATAAATGCATACATATGATAGAAGGCAAAGCATATGCATAATTGGCAAATTTTTGCACAAAGGAGTTTAATCTATATAATGCATGGAGAAAGCATATAAATATCAAAATGAAGTCAACATGATGATACTAAATGAAGAATGATGCTTAACTTTGGGAACTCCAATTTCCTTACAATGAGACTACTACACATGTGATAGGTTTGAAAAGTTGATACCATTTAAAAAGTGTTAGTCTCAAAGCATCCAAGTTGTAGAAATACTCCCCCTAAATATGTGCACACAAATATAGAATACATTATAGAAATCATGCACATTGATTTTAGAATAAAAAATACCACTTGAAAGATGACATCTCATGAATGTGAGAATCATTTTCAAAAAGATATCCGGGAGAGATTATATACAATTTGGACTTTGGCACATATTAGATGAACAAAAGTAAGACAAGCTATGTGCCGTGCTTGTAAACAATTGTGAACCATGTAAGTTTGCTCCAAGGGTTAAGAATGAAACCGAGCAAGCCTACCATATGAT